TCTTGCGGACGTGTCGATGCATCGGATCGTCGGCTTTTGGATCGATGCATCGATACAAAACCATTATTATTTACACCCCTAGTCATTACTATAGAAAAGCTAAATGCTAACTCTCAAATGACTGATTTAAGTGGTTTCCTGGGAAATTGAAATGCCTATATAGGTTAATTCTAGAAATCTACTGATGCACATTCTTTTTTTGTCTGTTTTTTTTATAAAGGGATCCATGGCTGATATTATTTTGTAATCAGTCTCATCAATCCCAAAGAACAAATGTTATCAATGTGACAAATGGAGAACAGCATATACGCATTTCAGAAAATCTCAAAGCATGGCCGCTAAATGCGCAAATCTTGTTGCTCATGCAAATTTGGCCATCTGATGTGCTGGTCTACATCTAGCTGGTTTGATAGAAGAATCCTATTTTTGTTTGATCGCAAAAGAAAAAGGGGGACTTTACACCTAATTTTAATGTAATCAGTATGGAGAGAAAAAACATACATTTACTACTTTCATCTGTGTTCCCAATCATTCTTCGAAGCCTTAATGTATGATTGGTTTTACACCTGATCCTCTTGCAGAAAAACATCTGTCTCTGGTTGTTTGGTCTTAAAATGTTTAAATATATTTGATGAAAATCACGTTTGAATAGTTTAATCTTTCTCCAGGTGGAAATCTTTGGCAGCTTCAGCACAGGACTATATCTTCCTACAAGGTATTTTTTTATTTTTTGGTTAATTTGGCTGCACATCTATCAATGCACTTTTTTTTCTTTATATCACAATGCATGTGTTAGATACATTTGTAATTTCCAATGACTAAATAAGCCACTGAAGTTCTTCTAGTTTACTACTTCTACATCCTGATTTTAATTTGTTAAACTAAACCAATAGTAATGGCTAAATTAATTTTTGACACAATTCCTCATTCTTTGAAGTATAGAAAACTGTCTATCATTTAGATTAGTTGTATACAGCACAGAGTATAGTGTCCATATAGGGCAGGGAGCAATAATTCCTTTTCCCTTGCGTTAACTTGCCCTCAGTTGGATGAATGTTTACTTTTAGCAGAGTGGAGGCTAAAATTACTAGATACAAGATTTATTGGCAGCAATCCCTGTGCAAAAATATTTACCTCAGGTATAGACACAAACATTAAGCAGGTTGATTATGCCTACATGTGTTTTTTTTTTTTGTCCCTTCAGTGACATCGATCTAGTTGTGTTTGGGAAGTGGGATCATCCCCCATTGCAGGATCTGGAGCAAGCCCTGAAGAAACACAATGTGGCTGGCAGCTATCCAATCAAAGTCCTCGACAAAGCTTCTGTGAGTACTTTAAAGATGTTAGTTTTTTACTTTAAAAACTTATTTTATAACATGTTGAAGGTTCAGATGCTTAACCCCTTTCATAAAATTTCTATTTTTCAAATCTTAGGTTCCAATCATTAAACTCACCGATCATGAGACCAAAGTGAAAGTTGACATCAGCTTCAATGTGGAGACTGCTGTGAAAGCTGCCCAGTTCATTAAAAGCTACCTTAAGGTCAGTTTCATGTAGGTCATGTTTTCTGACGGGGCAATATATGATGGTTTGGTAACATGCTTTTTTTTTCCTTTTGTTTCGTTAGAGATACACTGTTCTTCCACCATTGATCTTCGTCCTGAAGCAGTTTCTGTTGCAGAGAGATCTAAATGAAGTCTTTACTGGAGGCATCAGCTCATATAGCCTTATACTAATGGCTATCAGCTTCTTGCAGGTGCGCATTCAGTATTCAGGCAGAACTCGGTCAATATATAAAAAAGGGTTAAAACTTAAAGCTGGAACAATTTATCTATTAACGTGGCCAAAGAGTGATAGCATTTATTTAAATGCTGTTTCTACTAAATCAGCCTGCATTTACTCATAACGGTTTAAGTTGGCTGACATTTGTTAAAATATTACCGCGAGGAACCTTTCAGGCCACTCAGCCTGTAAATGTGTCAACGATTACTTTTTTTTTTGTCAGAATGCTGCAAACATGCACACCAGTGGTAAAACATCATGCAAGGGATAAAAAAAAAAAGGTTAAAGGAAAAACTTTTATCTTGGAAAACCTCCACACAACTAGATCAACCTTGACCCGAACCTGGTCTGCCATTGAATGTATGCAGTTTTTCTAAACTCCAATGTTTCCTGTTTTTAATTCTATTAAGTTGGAGCAGTAAAATGATCAAATGCAACACACCATTTCATAAAAAAAAAAATGAATCTAAAGGTTTCTGGGTTTTTGTTTTTGTTTGTTTTTTTGTTTTTTTTTTAAAGATCAATGTATTTTAGTTTCTTCTTGCATTTAGTTCCTTCCTATTGGATGGCCATATTTATTTGGATTTTATTATAGAGCTCTTTTATTGCAGAGTGTTGGAATAATTAAGATATTGAAATAAATGCAGTTTATGGATAGAAGTAAATTTTTGTTGTTTAACAATTTCTTTATTTTTTAAAGATGGTGCAGATATTTAAGCTGTCTGGGGAGAAAATATATATATTCTGGTTTTAACGTTCAGTAATTGTTTGTGTCCTGCTCACTAGTTACACCCTAGGATTGACACACGGCGCTCCAACATAAACCTGGGCATTCTGCTGATAGAGTTCTTTGAGCTTTATGGTCGCGATTTTAACTACATGAAAACGGGAATCCGGGTGAGAAATGGAGGAGCTTACCTGTCCAAAGAAGAGATGCTGAAAGCCATGGGCCATGGAAACCGGCCCTCCATGCTCTGCATAGAGGATCCTGTACAGCCAGGTCTGACTTTGATCGTAAAGTATAATTAAATGGAGCATTGTGTTATTGGGGATAATGAATACTTTTATTTAAAGTGTCAGTGCAACCAAATTGAATATGAAAATATCTGCAACAATAATGAACATCAGTTCTGGTAATAAGTCTCAAGCTAATCCAGTTACTATCAGGCCATAATTGCTTCGATTTAACATGAAAATTAATTGTCCGTCCTAATATTTGTCTCTCTTGTGAGTACATGCTCATTCATGTGTGTTGGGGAGAGGTAAACATTTGCTGGTCATCAGTGGATTGACCTTTTCAGCTACGATTAAAATCATTTTAATTGGAGTTATTGGCATTCCTTTAGTTGGTAGCTGCTGTTAGAGATTACATAGGATTTGGTTTAACTCCATTTAAATATGTCTGATCCCACTGATCTCTATGTTCTGATCCCAACAGGAAACGATGTTGGAAGGAGTTCATATGGAGTCCTGCAAGTCAAGCAGGTCTTTGATTTTGCATATCTTGTTTTAAGCCATGGTTTATCTCCTCTTTGTGCATATCCAAACAGAGAGTATGACAGGTTGGTTATACTTTTTTGTGCACTAACAGAACACCAAAGTGGATTACAGTGGAAATAATTCAGCTCCTCTGTTCATTTGGTCATTTCAGCACTTTAGGACGGATCGTTAAAGTCAGCCCAGAGGTGTTGGCCTACAGGGAATGGATAATCAAGACGTGGGGTGCCAAACAGAGTGCCAAGCTGGAAAACAATGGTAAGTCTGTTCTGCCTTGAAAATGCATAAATGCTCTGGATCTTCAAATTTTCTACCAATAAAGCTTAGGACTGATTTTAAACATCAGTCGTAAGTTTTACAGTTTTATATCCTAAACAATGAGACGAGATGTTTGTCATCCTCATGGTTTTACTGAGTTTCCAAACATTACAAGAAACGGAATAAAGTTAATAACTAATGTAAACTTAAACAGGCTATGCTTCCTGCTAGTTATGCTGTGACCTGCCCCCTTTATTTTCAGACAAAGCCATACCAGCGTTAGGATTAAAGGTATAGTGGAGGATTTTCGCAAATCTTTGAAAAGACCCACCCTCTTCACATGCACAACCCTGTACCCGCTCCTGAGAGGGAACGTCTATTAAACGCGTGCACGAGCCAACTTCTCCTCGTGCACGCTCTGCTTAAAAGTTGCTGTTTGCATTCCTCATAAAGCTTACTTTCCGAAAGATTTGCAATTTTTCCACTATGTCAGTCGCCACCAGTAAGTGAAAATGGGGACGAGCACGTAGGACAGCCTTACGTAAACATATCACCAGAATGATTAACAATTAGGGGACTTCTTATTTTGATGATCCGCCCCCAAAAAAAAAGAACATCCTCCACTATACCTTTAAGTCTAAATACCTTCAGCACACTATCAGGCTCACGCAGTCTTCCTCACAGACCTGTGCTGCACCAGAAAGTGTGACTATTAGTCAGCCTTAATGCTGGAAAAGTGAAGTCAAACCTCTTATCTGAAGGATTGTGTTTGGGTTTTAGATGTGGAGACCTGTGAGCAGGAGCTTTCTAGAATGATGCTGATTGAGGATCAAAGGGATTCCCCGTCTCCCCTGAGCTCAGACTCCCCTTCTCCAGTGTTTCCTCCAAGCCCGCAACATCATTCCTCGTCTTCCTCAGCTTGCTCACTTTCTTCATCTTCCTCTGGAAGCGACATTGTAAGGATACATCATTTTTCTAAGAATTTTTTGTTGATGACTTATGTGTGATGGTTAATCATTATTTAGCCACTAAGTCAATTTTGTTCTCTAAGTGAAACTTAAAGACTAAAGTTGATACAAGTCAATTCCGATGACAACGCTGAAATGTCGGCTAAAAAAGTTAAAGTTAAAACAAACCACTGCAAACTACAGTTTGTTTTAACTTTTTTGGATTGACTATGACCTGAATGACAGAGAATCTTAACCAGCGTACAGAAATGTGGGCCTAAAAGAATACAGTGCATCCGGAAAGTATTTAGTGTTAGACTTTTCCACATTAAATTATGTTATTCCAAATGTGAATAAAAATAATCTTTGCTCAAAATTCTACCACAATATTTTGTAATTGAAAATTAAAACCCCATTTATGTATAGTGAGTATTTAAAGCATTTGAAGCTCAAACTGAGCTGAAGTTCATATCCTGTGGTTACAGGCTGAAAACTTCCTTCTATTCCTCATAGCAAGTTGGGTTTTGATCTCGTGACTGTTTCTCCAGAATATATTGGTTTCACAAATGGAACAATTTCTTTTTTAAAAGAGGAGTGTAGACTTGGAGAATCATTCCAGCTTAAAAAATGGCTGACATCTTTGATGTTTTGACACACAGACTGCACAAATTGTAGGCCATGTCTGGGACATATTTGTCTGCAATAGCTGTAGATTGTTGTTCTTGTCATAACATGGCAAGAACATGTTAATATTTAAAATGCTCTTTTTGTGGGTCCTAAAATTTGTATACATTTTTCCTCCATTGGTTGCAAGCCAAAATCATCAAAATTAAAATAAACACTTTGAATATTTTACCCTGTACATGAGGTCAAGGATGAAGTTCTAAGTGAATGGCACTCCTCTACCGATTTCTAAACTTCAAGCTTCTTCTTTGTCTCATCAGGAGTCTGACTCTCCAAAAAGTAGCAATGGTTCTATCCAGCTCCACCCGCTAAACTTGGCTTTAATCCAGATGGCTGCAGACCCAGGGGCCACACATCCAGCAAGCTTTATCCACGCTCCACATCAGGTCAGTTCACAAACAAAATACCTTTGGCACTTATTTAGACCTGATAACAGCCCTGGTTGAACTCTTATTTAACCTTTTATTTTTTTTTGTCCCCCTACATTCAGATCTCTCTTCCAGAAAACTTTACCATCCTGCCGTCCGATAGCCAGTTCTACCACGAGAACCCTCCTTCTATTAACATTGTGCACCGTCACACAGCACAAGCTCCACAATTCCCCCGGCATTCTAAGCCTGCCAGCCCTCTCCTTACACATCTCCACCACTCTCAGGTTGGAGGGCTGCTGCGCCACCCGTACGCCCAGAGATCTTATTCCCAAGGCTCACTGGAGCCCCACAAGTTTGGCTCCAAGCACAACCAAGTTGGTAGCTTCCAGTGCCATAATCCCTCTCAAGGCAACTTGGGTCTGCAGCACCGGTTTGTTTACCAGACGCACATGGTGTCATGTTTCAAAAACCAGCAGCAGCAGTACAACCGTAAGGCTTGGCGACGCAGGAAGAAAGACATTAGTCCCACTTTGAACCAGAGCCAATGAAAGACGTCAGCGGTAGCACATGTTCTGTTGCTAAGAGGTATTTAAAGCGAACATACAATGATGGAAGGCTTTTCCCATGGCTTACTAGGACCATGTAAAAAAAATAATAAAACCTCACCATGCTCATATTGTTCTATCAGTCTGAAACAATGCCCCTTTCACCAGCATAAACTCAGTTGATGAATTGGTGATTACCAGACTGGGGCTGCCCTCAGCAGTCTCCTCTCCAAATTAGAGCTAAAGTAAGTATATAATGTCCATGGAGCCTAAACATCGTGTGCCATAGTATTGTGGTTCATCAAGCCTGACGCTTCTTGAACTTTTAATTCTTAATGAGCCTTTTTCATCATTAGGTTTCGCTCTTCTGAATGTTTCTCCCTCTTTTGTTCCAATTCCTTTTCAGAGCTCTTAAGCGTTCTGCATATCTACAAATTTTACTCTGGACTTGAGCAAAGCACTACACTTTTTCTTCTACCTATGCAGCGCAATGCTGACAATGTTACTAATGTGACGGCACAAAACTGACATTGTCTTAAGTGCTAACACTGTGAGGACTGGTTTGAATGTACACTTTTGTGTGTCTGTGTCATAAATTTATTTTCTCATTTTAGACTCACCAGGATTTTTAACATGTTTTGTTTTTTTCCACATTGGTTTAATTGTTCTTTTCTATGCTGCAGACTGTAGCACCTTATTTTATTTCTTTCTTTTTTTCCAACATGTGCAATATTTACTGGATTTTATTTAATTTATTTCACATTTTATTTGATTCTTTGTTTTGGTCTTTTTAAGCCTGTATTGATGTGTGCAATAGAGGGGTTAAGGGCCTAGTGAAATGTGTGTGTTTGTGTGTGAATGTGTGTGTGAGAGGCCTTCCAGCAGGGGGCGATACGGTAGAACGTGCCATAAACCCTTGACTTAAACATTTTCCCACTTGAATTTTCTGCACGAACACTTGAATTTTGCCAACTGCCTATCCAAAAAGTTTTTCCACAACCAATTTTTCTTTGAAACATATTACTATATAGCCAGTTATATTTATCAGAGCTAAAACCATCTTCAGCCATGTTTACATCTTGTGTAACTTCAGAAATAGTTGGTGCTATTTTATACCAGCAATGTGCTTGTTTTCTGCCTTATAGATGCTCTGATTCTGTTGAAGCAGGAGGTTAACTGCCTTCTTAACTGACCAGATCTGTTTTGTTTGTTTTTTGTTTTTTTTAACTGTGTAGCCAGAGCTTTCTTTATACATTTTGTAAGCACTGCCAGGGTTACATTGCTTTTATTTATTACACCTTTAGGTGCCAGCTCCTGCAGTCTAAAATGTCTGTATGACATTTTTTTTCTTATTTTTCTAGAGCAGTCAGAAAAAGGTCTTAAAATTCTCTTCTCATAGTTACATTAATTTTACAAGGCCAGTGTAATCTAAGATGTTTTGGTCAAGCCACAACAAAAACCTGAGGGCTTGTTTTCAAAAGTTAAACCCTGGTCCTATGGAGCAAACCCCAAATGGATTTTCTTTTCATTATTTCTTAGGTTGTTTTCTTTTTTTTTTTTTTTCTTTTTTTTTCAGAGCTGCCTTTTAATACATTATCTAAGATGCGACATCATACCAAATTCCCACATCAGAGTATGAAGATTGGCTGTAATGTGTAAATTTGCATTTCAATGTATCTTTTTTTTTTATGCAAGTTTTTCTATTTTTTTAATAAATGTTTAAAAAGAAACATATATTTGAGTCATCTTTTTTCCTAAGTGACTATTCCACTGGCCTAATTATCTAATAGAGTTTACTTTGTGTGTAATGCTACCAATTACACACATGGTAAACTATTTTACAGAAAAAAAGGTGCTAAATGTCTTTTCCATAAAATGTATTCATTTGTTAAAAATATGCATCACATGGAAATTAAATTTTAAATACAAAAAATTAATGACACGAATAGCATTTTACTCATTTTAAAATCGAATATGCAAATGCAGAGCTAGTGCAGTGATGTAAGTTTATGATTTTTGTAATGCCTTTTGCTCAGGACTCCTTGAGGAAATCCAAGCTCCTCTACTCATTAACATTTATAAAAATCAAATCTCCTTTTATGCAGACGTATAGATCTTGAATTCTTAACAGTCTAGTCTGGTGGGAGAGAATTTCAATCCAGACATGTTTCTCCTTGGCGCTGTTGTGGTTCTACCTTTCTTATATCTCATTCCAAAATAGCTAGCTTATCCTGATCTATGTTCTGTATTCTGCTGCTCTATGTTTGGACTGCTGGATAACATAAGGGCCGTTTTTTTTCTCTATTCTCCCACTCTGCTGAATTATTCACTCATAACTTTGCTCTCTCATGCTTTTTCTCAACATAGTAGCCTTTTCTGGTTCTTTCATGTTTGGCTGTGACTCCATCCTGGATTAAAATATCAACTGCTGTTGTCATTGGAATCTCTATTCCTAGAGAGCTTGGCCAGTTACAACTGTAGTCCTGTTTCTTTTACTGTGACTAGCAGAACTCGCTCAGAGCTCATCTTTCCTGGACTGGGCCGCCTGTGGTGCTGGTTGACCATTACCTGGTTGGTTGACAGTATGTCTGATTCTGTCTCCTTGAGCCCCAGTTGGCCTCAGCAGATTGCCGCTCACACTGAGCCTGGTTCTGCTGGAGGTTCCTTCATGTTTAAAGGGAGCTTTTTCCTCTCAACTGTCGCTACATACTTGTTTGGTTTGAAGGATTGTTGAAGAGTCAACAACAAAATGCGACCGAAGGTGGTTGTCACGTGCAGATAGTGCATGTCGTTCGAGTCAGTGGCT